GTAGCTAATGAAGAAAAATGAGACTCTATCCGATCAGACATGGATCTCAAACATTCGTCAACAATATCTTTGGCATTTTGATTCATTTCACTTGATGAAACAATCTTCAGAAACTGGCATATTTTGTCGGATCTCCAAAGGCATGCACCTGAAATGAACATCTTTGATTGAGTAATGAACATGTTATCAGTGCTAAATGAACATGTTCTAATGTATAATTAATATCATGCACATGTTTCAATAAGACATGAACATGTTTCAATAGTAAATGCATATGTTCTATTGTATAATGAATATGTACCTGGCACATGGTAACCCGAAGAATATTGGGTTCCCTCCAAGTCTAAGCGACAGTTCAAATTGGCATTCCGACGCCACCTTGGATGTACATACATATCCGGAACTCTTTCGACATTAAAAACGATGTACACCCTAAGACAGTGGCAGCAAAGGAAACCAACCTCCGAAAATAAATCACATGAACACCGAACCTCATGAGAAGTTAAGTTGAAATTTACTTGGTGCTTGAACACATCCACATTTGCCCTTTGAACATAACATAAAACAAAATTCCCATTATTTTCAATTCCAATGCTTTGTGGTGCTCCAACGACTTCCATCTTGCACGAAATTGCAGCTATATACAGTTGCTCAAAATGAATATATGCTTCTATTGTGTACAACTCACGAACATTAAGAAGCAGTGAATTATCAGGGAATTGACATTCCACACGGCCATTGTTGCACTGAAAGTCATCTTTATTCTCCTTCTCTCTCCACTCCTCAAGAACTTTGACAAAATGAGAATAAAAGCCACACAATCGAGCAGTCTTGGGAAGTTTCGCCGAAATTGAGTTGTTTGTTGATTCACTCCTTTGGGATGATAATATACCACCAGAGAAATGAGTTTTGTTAAAGGCTGGACACCATTTGTGACGATTTGAATACAACCGCTTCAGCCATTTATCATCAGCGCAATTGTATGTATCACACATCCTGAAGTATCAAGAACAATGTTACATTATGAAATAAATATGTGTAATTGAATACTAAACATGTTCTTATAAACAATGAACATGTCTAATGAACATGTTTAATAACTAAATGAATATTTGTTTATATAAAGTAAACATGTTTAATAACTAAATGAATATTTTTGTATACAAAGTGAGCATTTTATTTAAAACAAAATGAACTTTTTCTACAAAAATAAAATTATGAACATGTTACAGTATGATATGAATATGTTTAAGTATTAACTGAATATGTTCAGTTGTTTAATGTCTACATTCTATTTGACATGTTCGTTGAATATATGACAACGTCTCAGTATGATTTGAACATGTTTAATAAATAAATGAATATGTTGTATAAATAAATGAACATGTTTATGTACGAAATGAATTTTATCTACAAAAATAATATGTGAGAAATGAACATGGTTCAGTATTAAATGAACATGTTGAATTGATGACTGAATATGTTCAAATATAAATTGAATAACTCACTTTTTCCAATAAAAATCGAATTCCGGTATTGTGTCCGTTGATCTCAAAACCAAATGAAAAAGATTGATGAAACCGGGCATTATCCGAAGGTACTGAATGTGCTTTTTTGAATTCTCGTCAATATGCCAGGTGCATAAGCGATGTCGGGATTGCGTTAACACCAATGGAATTGCAGCTGCCATGGCTGCATCTTCATCGGTCATTATTGTGGCAGGCTGCTTCCCACCCATTGACTTCAGAAATTCATCCAACAACCACTGAAATGAATCCTTGTCCTCATGAAGCAAAAAACCGACACCAAAAATAATGTTTCTCTTGTGATGGTTCATCCCTGTAAATGGAGCACATGCAAGATTGTACTTAACTGTCCTATGAGTAGTATCAAATACAACTAAATCACCAAACACCTTATAATCCTTCCTCATGCGAGAATCCCTGCAAAAAATGGAACACAATGATGTTGTTTCCTTATTCAGATCATAATTAAAATAAAATCCATCTTCCCGGGCCTGTCTTTTTTTCAATATATTAAGTAGGCCATTTGCATCACCGCCTTCCCAAATTCTCCGTTCAAGCTTTGCAACGTGGTTACGGGCATCAATTATTGTATATGGCATATTTTGAACACCACGAGCTTGATCCGAAAGAACTCTATAACCAACGGTAACACCAACTCCACTAGCTTTTAATTGTGACATATATGCTACATCATTCGAAGGCATATCCCTGTGAGAGCGAAAATAGCGGGCTTGATTGCATGGAACTAACTCATGGTTGTGTTGATCCTCTTCTTGCTCCACTATCCAATTAGCACCATAAAAAAGAAGCTGAATCATTACCTTGCAACCAACCCGCGTTTCCAATTTTGTATAACTCCTCTCTTTGCCCACTTTGCTTTTAAACCCTTGCTTATTGCAACAAAATTATTTGCGATATACAATATCATCTTTCTTCTTTCTTGACCTGAATTTTCTAACTCCAAAACCATGTCTCTTCGCATATGAATTGTAGAATTCATAAGCATCTTCCAAGGAATTAAATTTCATCCCAAGCAATTTTTCATCATCGATCTCTACAAAAATATGAACATGTTCCGTTAGGAAATGAATATGTTGAGTTAATAAATGAACATGTATACATTCTATATCGAGCTTTTCCAAAACAGAGAATAAACACCTATTTAATATATGAACATGTTCAATAACTAAATGAACATACGTATATAAAAAATGAACATATGTAAAAACAAAATGAAATGAACATGTTAAAAACCAAAATGAACTTTTTCTACAAAATGAAATGAACATTTTTATATACAAAAATGAACATGTTTATATGAGTATCTTGCATTATGAAATGAACACATGTGATTGTAGAATGAACATGTTTTTTGAATTACCTGCGCCTTCACCCGTTTCAACCACAGAATTATTGGCTTCATCAATGGATATTACCGGGGTTTCATTACAATCAACATGTTCATCGTCTTCATCAATCAATATTACAGCGGTTTCATTAAAATGAACATGTTCATCCTCAAATAATGAAATTGTTTCCGGATTGCAAGACCCAACTACACTTTTTTCCAGATTGGAAGACCCAACTACACTTCCATCTCCAAAATCAACATGTTCATCGTCTTCATCAATCGATATTACAGCGGTTTCATTAAAATGAACATGTTCATCCTCAAATAAAGAAATTGTTTCCAGATTGTAAGACCCAACTACACTTTTTTCCAGATTGGAAGACCCAACTACACTTCCATCTCCAAAATGACATGTTCATTCTCCAGATCAAAATGAACATGTTCATGTTCATGATTACAAAACTCAGGGGCTGCGTCTAGATCTTCTAATATCACCATCGGAAAATTCAGTTTTGCAGAAGAAAAAATCGACAATTGCCTTCAGATGAGAAGAACTGGAGTGAAGAAGTTTTTTTGCCTTGAAAAATGAGCCCAATTTTGGCGGAAGGGAGTGCAATTTTTTACCGCCTTTTTTCTCCCCTTCTCTCTCTGCGCGTGGAACAAGAAATTGAACCAGAATTGCAATTTAAGGCCACTCGCCTTTTTTTTACGTTGGTTCACTCTCTGCCCTGGCACACCTAGCAAGGTGTGCCAGGGCACACCTAATTATTTGCGGGATTATATGATCTAATGACTCATGTTTATTCTTATTTCTTTCATTGAGTACCTTTCTTACCGGAGCGCATCCCTATATATATATGTGTGTGTGTGTGTGTGTACGACACGATATGATGTAACTGCATCGAGGACGAGGTGACTTATAAGTATTTCGTTTACCAAACTTCTGTATATATTGTTAAGTGGAGAGATAAATCTGTAGAATTTTGTTTATACTCATTTATGTTTATACTTAATCTCTACATATTTTTGTAAACTATAGAAAATACATTAACATAAATGAGAGAAAGAGAGATATAAAAAATTATATAGTCTTCTAGAGATATCATTCGCCCCGAGTCAAGTTAAACACCTCATATTCAAGCTTGTGCTCATTTAATAAATGAATCGACTCGACTACACTATTTAATAAACTAACAAAAATGTAAACCCGAAGTCGGTCCATATAATAAGCCCAAATTGACTCAACTCATTCAATAAATAAGCTCGAATAATTATTATAACTTGGCTCGTTTAAATATATTAGCGAGTTTGAACTTGAGTTTTCACGATTCATACGAACACAATTCGGCTTCTTAATTGTTCTATTTTCCCTGACTTTATTTTCCAGAGATCCGCCCCTGTAATGAGTATAAAATGTGGCCTTTTTTGTTTATGCCGTTAGATCATCAAATTTTATGACCCTGATATATTTTTAAAATTTTTACTTAACACGTTTCTTACCGGAATTCATTCTTTTAAACACATGTGTTACACCACATATCAAATTACATCTTTAAAATGTATTTCCATGACAAAAAAATAAAATAAAATAAAATTGTCATTCGAAAAAACAAAAAGAAGAAAAAAAAAATGAAGGGTATCCAAAGTTATGCCTGACTAATCTGTTAGTCGATTCGGATCGCACACCTGACAGTGATGGGTAAGTCTCCCAACAAGAGTTTTGGTAGTTCCATTCGATAAACTTAAAAAAAAAAAAAAAAAATCAATAAAAAATGGGTGATTTTCATTAAAAGACACAATTAGACGTGCGATCATAAATAGATAAGGGCGAATGAGTGGTTCTTTTTACTAACCTTTCCACGTTATTCGCAACATGTATAATTATGAAGCCAAAAATTTCATCACCCAAAACCCAGTTCATCATTTTCGCGTAGTAAAAAAAAAAAAACATATTATACTGCATTTGTTTTGCAAACTGCAAAAATAACTAAATTATCATAATACATTTCCTTCCCAGTTATCATATTCCTTGGAAAGAATCATGAAACACAATTACAACCCAATAATCATCATTTAACGCTCAATTACAGTTCGTCTCTATTGCTTTTTAATTTTATTTTAACATGGCCGAAAACGGGTCCCCTCGACGTATCAGGTGGCCGGCCGATGACTACAACCGGCTAACCACCTTAGAAGTCGATCACGAGCGGCCAAGAACACCCGACTCGGTCCCTGAATTCCGACAATTGTACAACCAAATACATTCGGCATGTCACCTCATCGACATCGACTGGGACCGCATCTGCGTCCTCGGCTTAGCCACCATCTCCGTCATGCTCATCGTCCTCACCTTCTTCCCATTCTTGCAGACCCAGCTTGTCCTCGACCAGAATCTGCACCACCAATTCTCCCTAAAATCCCTAACCATCTCCGAGTTCCAAGCCGAGAGTGATCGTCTCACGGGCAAATGCAACGTCTCCTTCAATATTAGCAACCCCACCCAGAAAAGCGTGTACCACGAGCATTCCGTCCTTTCCATCTTCTTGGATCACGAGCTGCTCTGGGTCACGCGGACGCTCGACTTTTTCATTGACATTGGGGACAGTATCGCGTTCAACGTGAGCATAAATAGGACTACGGTTGCTGTTCCGGATTCTTTTGTCCCGACCGCGTTTTTAGAGAGTCGGGCGTTGAATAAGTCCCTCCATTTCAAGTTGAAGTACGATGGGATGATGAGGGAAGGTATGGCCGCTTGGGAGGAGGAGAGGGCGCATTTGTATGTCATTTGCGGCTGGATTCAGGTGGCATTTGTCGATAATACGACGCTCAAGGGAGGCCCGGCTAATTGTTCCATAGAAAACTAGTCGTGTTTGTTCGTTTTTGGGTTAGCAAGTGGATTTTGCTTTTTCTTGTGGTTGGTTGGTGGTGTACATAACAATGAAGTTTGATTATCGTGTTGTTGGTTTTAGAATTCAGCAAAACTAGGGTCATGTATGGTTACATGTAGTTTTATGCACATTGTATGAATTCATTTTAGTGATTTAGGGGGTTTTTTCTCTTGGTCTCACTACATGAATTGAGCATGGGAATACGGATTTTTCAACATTTATGAACAATATATATTTTAGGCTAACCAAAATTTCAATTTTGTTTATCTAAGTTGACTATAATCTGGAATTGGTACACTATTAATTTTGCACCTCATAAAAAATAGTGTTGTTGAGTTCTGAGTTTTCTCACTTTCGGTATAGTTATATCGACTATCGGGATTAGCTGCTCATGCCGCGTGATCTTCGAAGGTTGGCTACGCGACATACATGACACATCTTCGGTATAGTTACATCGACTGTCGGGATTAGTTTCTCATGCCGCGTGATAACATTTGAAGGTTAGCTATTACATTACAGGACAAGTGATGTAGCTTTTTTCTGTTCTTGAACACTTTTATGATTTTGGTACATTAAGTTGCCCAAACTACAATTACAGTAGTTGAAACTTGGCTAAAGTACATGTATGCACACAATTTAGTACGCCGAGTTGAGACTTGGCTAAAGTACATGTATGCACACAATTTATTTTCAATCTACCAATTATGCTAGGTGTTGGTATCTAAATAATAATATATTTAGTGTTTAATAGAAATTATTTGAAAGACAGAGTTTTTAAAAATTTTGGAAAGAGAGGTGAAGATTAGCTTGGCTAAAGATATTTGATTTCTGATTCAATTTTCCTTATGGTCTCAACTCCCACGAATACAGGTATATATAGATAGCAAAAGTGACCTCTCCCAACTAATTAACATTAATTATAACCACCAACTAATTACTAGCAACTTCCAACTAATGAGTGCCAACTAATTCCTAACATTTCTAGAATGGGGATTAATTTAACACTCCCCCTTAATGTTCATGTGGATAATTCCAAGTTTTTTCGCGTAGTGCCTCGAATCTTGGTTTCGGTAGTGCTTTCGTAAAAATATCCGCTTGTTGGTCTTCTGTGTTGATATACTTGAGCTTTATTTGGTTGTCCATGTATGTAGCGGTTTTGTACGCCTATTCTTCTTGTAGTGACATTTCTTGTATTTATTGGCTCGACAATTGCTCGATTGCACATTCTATAGAACTCTGACTTTGCTTCTGGTGGTTTTGAAACTTGTCTTTTGATAACTGTGTAAGCTTGCTTTTCCTGATGACTTGATTTCGGGACTCCGGTATTTCTCTTCTTGGCGTCTTCTCCTTGACTATTCACACTTGATTTGGTAATTTGTGTTGGGTATTGAAATTCCATTGCAAAACACTGATTCACCCCCATTCTGATTTTTGCAATTACATTATTGTTCTTGTCATAAATGATGCATGATTCTCCTCCGAAATTCAAGTTGTAGCCTTTTTTCAACATTCCACCGACACTTAGTAGATTTTGATCGATTGCTGGAACCAATAGGACATCTTTGATGTATTTTGTCCCTTTTCTTGTGTCAATGGCGATAGTTCATTTGCCCGTTGCTTCCACGTAGTTGCCGTTTCCAATCTTGACTTTTGAACTCAATCTTTCAATATTGCAAAAGATACTTTCATCGAATGTCATGTGATTGCTGCACCCGCTGTCCAAGTACCAAATGCTTCTTTTGTCTTTTGTTGTACCGTTGGAAGCATAGAACAATAATTCTTCTGGTTCAGTCTCTTCTGAAAAATTTGCTCGTTGATTTTGTCTTCTGCCCCTACAGTTTTCCTCGACGTGGCCATACTTTTGACAATTTTTGCATTGGTTTTTCTCTCGAAACCAACATTCTTCTTTTTGTGATTATTTTTTATTGCAAATTCCACATGGTATATAGTACCATATTTTATTTTTATTATTTTCTCCAAATTTTCTCCCCCCAATTTTAGAATTCTGAGACCGTAAATTTAATCTTGACTGAAATGCATTTTCAACTGTGTCATTCTCAACTGTGTCATTCTCACGCATACTCAGTCTTTTTTCATAGGCTTCTAGTGAACCTATTAATTCTGTTACTGACAAATGATTCAAATCTTTAGTTTCTTCTGTTGTCGTGACAATAGGATCATATTTGGCTGGTACAGTAATTAGAATTTGTTCTACCACCCTTTTGTCAGTAATATTTTCTCCATATGCTTTCAATTGATTTACTACTTCTCTTAATCGAGTGTAGTAACCTTTTACGGTCTCAGATTCTTTCATCTTCATATTTTCCAAATCTCTTTTTAGAGTTTTTAATTTCAGATGACGTACCTTGTCACTACCCTGGTATTCTTCCTTCAGAGTATCCCACGCCTCCTTTGATGTCTGTGCTCCGCTAATTCTTGGAAAAAGGGACTCCGACATGGCCATTTGTAGTGTGAAAAGGGCCAAACTATCTTTTTCCTTCTCCCGGTCGAATTTTTCTTCGTCCGCCGTAGACAAAGTGGAAATGTCATCGGGTATAGTATACCCGTTCTCGACAATATTCCATAGGCCTTGAGACATAAAATATGTCCTCATTTGAATGGCCCAATAATTATAATTTTCGCCGGAAAAAATAGGAATTGCTATTTGATGGGTGTTTTGGGAAGTGACCATAATAAATATTTAAAAAGATATGTGAAAATGAGGTATTTGGACAAGATATGTAGAAAGGGGAGGATATTAAAAATAATGTCGCCCAACTATTGATCCAACCGGGCTCTGATACCACTGTTGGTATGACAAATAATCTATAATTAAAACTGTAGAAGAAATTATAATTTGTAAAATAATATTGAAGAAGAGAATATATTATATATGTAAAAATCTTGAAAGGATAGTAATGTAGATGAATTAGACTCTTGAATTTTTCTTTTTCTTGTTTACTTACTTTCATTCGAACACACATATATATACTATACAATGGATAATTCTAGATCACTAATTATTACACCAAATAATTAATTTATCATTATAAATGCCAACTAATGACAACTCATGACAAAATAATTGAACATGACAATCAAATTATTAAATGAGCATTAATAATACTGTTGGTATCTAAATAATATATTTAGTGTTTAATAAAAATTATTTGAAGACAAAGTTTTTAAAAAATTTGGAAAGAGAGGTGAAGATTAGCTTGGCTAAAGATATTTGATTTCTGATTCAATTTTTCTTATGCTCTCAACTCCCATGGATTCAGGTATGTATAGATAGCAAAAGTGATCTCTCCCAACTAATTAACATTAATTATAACCACCAACTAATTACTAACAACTTCCAACTAATGACAGCCAACTAATTCCTAACATTTCTAGAATGGGCATTAATTTAACACTAGGTGATTGTATCCCGACGAATATATACTTGCATCCAAGCGAATATATATGTACCAGCAGTACGTCAGACGACTACGAAACTTGGAGAGCACGACCATCGGAGACAAACGCATCAACCGGTGTCATCAGATGTTCCAGTCGTAGTTGCGAGCGCCGTACGGAAGCTCACGAGTCGTCGCGCGCGACCCGCGGACAACCTTCACACCCCCGCAGGTAGAACGCACACAACCCTGTCCTCGCCCCGTCGCGCATAAATCATGCGGAACAACATCCTAGAGCCCGCGCGACCCGCGTGTTTCCCCAATGCGACCCGCATGTTTTCCATTACAATCCGTGTATCCCAGCAGACTCGCCGCAAGATGCCTCAGCAACCTTGCGGCCTGACAGCGCTAGCTTCGGCAACCAGCACCTGAACCGTGCGAGCCTCGGCCACCAGTGCACCACACCGTGCGACCCTCGACTACCAATGCACCAGCGAACCTTAGGCAAACCTCCCATGCACCAGGCGAGCCGTGGCGAGTGCTAACCACCTCCAAGAGCCCATGTGTTGTCCGATAGCAGTCCAGCAAGCCCAAGGCGATGCAAGACGTGACTCGGACACCGGGAAACGTGACATGGTGATCGGGATGGACGAAGCGACACGACGAGACATGCACGGCGAGCAGCGAGGCTCAGAAGATCTCTATCAGCGGAGATAAAAAAAATATTTTAGAGTCGGCAAATAAATAATAAAATAAAAATTAAAACTGTAAGTCTTAATCCTAACTATAGATTCCGTTGCGTTATGATTTATCTTAATATATTTGGATATGCACATCGACGAAGTTCCTCATAGAACCCACCAATAAGCTCATTTATTCTACATTTTATTTTGTTGATGCAATCATAGACGGAGCTACATTGGGTCGAGAAGGGCCATGCCCCCCCTTTTTTTTTAAGTCTATATATAAAAATATAAATAAAATTTTATGAAATATCTATAGATATGAAAAAAAAAAATTACAATATATTAATAATTAAAACCTATTTTATATGTTATTTTAATTAAATTAAAAATATTATTTGTTTATTGAAAGATGTGCTAACAAAATCATTATATTTACAATTCTAAATAATTTTTTGAAAATATTTATAATGATTTACTCTTTCGGTTCTCTAATTGTAAATATATTTTTCAATTTATAAAATCCATTAATTAGGTGGATTGTTACGTTTTCGAATATTGATTTTTTACTTATTTTTTTTGTGTAATCACGTACTTTTAATTTTATTTTTTTTTCTTAAGAAATGTTTATTTCAATAACTCTCATCAACAAAAATATTGCAAGCGATAATTACAATTTAAATCAATTTGGCAACAGAAAAACTTATTACCATAAATTATAGATATTGAAGGTAAATTACAAATACATGAAATCTCATTTTTTTTATTTTTTTTTTTAAGTTTTAGGTGATACGGATACTAAGGTTTTAAAAACTGGATTGTACACATATAAATATTTATATTTATAGTAAATATATTTTTTTATGAAATGTGCATTTCGACAAGCTCGTTATTTAATATAAAAAATTAGGGGCCCTAAGTGGAACTCCTAGATCCGCCACTGGCTGCAAGTATATGTTTAATGAATTAAGTATTGTATCTTACTAAACTTAATTGGCCAAAAGCATTCATCACCAATTGGACTTTACTAATTAGTAAGAAAAAGATGAAACTTACAATATACCAAAGAGAGAGA